TTGATTAATCTAGAGTAAGTTTGAGCATCTTGAAAGAAAAGAAAGAATTCAAGGTAGATGGTGAACCAGTTTTGGTAACAGTCAAACCAGAAGCAGCCAGAGGAAAAGATGAATATGCTATTTCAGGATGGGCAAGATGGGTAGATCCAGCTGCAATTTAACCATGGCATTTACTTTATAGAGTATAGATTTTCAATAAAGACACTGATGGATTGAAGAATGCTGATAGACCAGGAGATAGAACATTGTCTTGCTGGAAGGGTCTTGGATTTTTCTATGTTGCTACTTATACAGTTGATTAAGGTCATGGTGGAGCATGGAACATTGAGAGAACAAATCCATATGATGAAGTTATGCACAAGAATTGGGTTTATTTCTATTAAGGATATTCAAGGTCAAAGTAGAGCGTTCACATTTACATTAAATATCCATCAAGAGATGTTCACTTTGATGTACCAGTCAATCACTTTGTCCCAACACAATTCTTTGTTCAATTTGGTAAAGATTAATGGCATGGTGGATGGAATGGTTTCCTTGAATCTTGGTATTTCAATACTGGTAATGGAGCATACAAGACTACAGATTATGGAGTAGATGAATCAGATTAATTATCATTTGGATTTGGTGGAAGAGTAATTCCAAAGCCAAAGAACTGGGAATCAAAGGACTTATTCTAAAACAATTGGGGACCCTCAGACCAATCATTAGGAAAGGATGTTGAAATAACAGATGATTTCATTAATGGATTGACTGAATATGGATATGGAATGTGGACAAGATTTATTTGGAATGGAGAAAGAAAACTAGTTGACAAACCAGCATGGATGGCATTATCTAGATTGACATACAGACCTAACTATTAAGGAGATGCTGCTTAAATCGGAGATAGATTATTGGCTATTTGGGTAGGATCTGGTTTCTATCATTTCACTACCTCTCTTCCTGGAAATGCTAATTTGGTAAACAATGTAAACTACAATAATTTATTGGATGGATCATGGAATTACATCTACTATGGATATAAGAAACTTGACAAAGGAGGAAGTATAGTAGGACATGTGTTCTTTGGAGGTTCAGCTGTTAGATCAACTACTTTCCCTGAAGTTGTTAATCATACTCCATTATCTGACTATTTGTATTTCTGCGTCGGTAGTTCAGGTGCCAAATTGAGAACAAACTACCATTCATTCAATGGTCATATCTCAAATGTTATTTTGAGATTAGGAGATGGTGCTTTCTTCTCCAATCCAGATGATCTTAGGAAATAGATACCAGAAATGCCTAAATTCCCAGAATTAGCACCAATTAAAGAAGTAATCTTTGAAGAAGCAAGAGATATGAAGAGAGAAGTGGCTTAAGTAGCTCCTGTTGAATTTGCTGATAAGTTTGCTGGATAGTTTGAGTACTCAGTGTCAATATGGTTCAAATGGTCTACAATAGCAAGAGCTACTTGGGAAAATGTTTATACTCTCTCCTACAATGAACCAAATATTAGAGGAAATCATGTAAGACCAGGAGACAGAGTGTTATCATTATTCTAATATGCTGATCACAGACAATTCTTCAGTACTTACACCACCCCAGATGTTGATGATGCCTTCTAATAAATCTTCACAGAATGCCCAACTCCAGCTCTTGATCAAACTGCTTGGGTTTATGCTTACTATGCTTACAGTAAAAAAGCTAGCAGTGTTTACAGTTTCTACAAGACCAGAACTACTGAATGCGAAAAGAAATTGGCTGCTTCTCATAGAGTTCCAAGATACTTAGGATTATATGTTGGAAAGGATGGAATTCACACTCCTTACAATGGCAAATACCAATAATTGTATTTGATGGCTGGAAATGGTGCCTATAGAGAAAAGGATATTTTGAGTTTCGATCCATACATAGCAGGTGCATTAGGAGTCTAAGCTAAACCATACAAATGGGCAGACAAGAAGGATGAATTTGAATAAGCATTTGATGGAACTTTGTAATAAGAATTAGACCCAGCAGCAGTAGATGGACATTCAGCTTATGCAATTGGATTCTGGAGCAGATACTTAACAGCAATTCCAAAGAGAGTCTTAGATAAACCAGCATGGGTATCTATAGCTAGATTCACAGTCAATAAAGATTATTAAGATTAATCAAAGGTTGGAGACAGAACCCTTGCATTATGGTTAGGAAAAGGATTCTATGGATTTAGAACATACAATTTGGCTACCAATACTCCAACTATTGCTTAAGATGTCAAATATGATGATAAATTAGAAGGAGAATGGAATTTCATTTACTTCTGTTTCGCCAGTTCAAAACAACAAGCTATAGGTTATGTTAAATTCGGTGGTTCAGGAGATGTGAAGAGAGTGACCTTCCCAGAAATCACACATAAACCAATTGAAGGATATGGTAAAGTCATAATCGGAAAGGAATTCTCTTATCCAGGTTTCAGTGGTAAGATTTCTTAATTGTAAATGCTCTTCGGTGGACAAGGTTACGTCCCTGATGTAGATTCTTTGGAAGCCTTAATTAAGACTACATTCCCATAACCAGATCTCAATATTCCTGATACTTAGGTTCTAAAGATCTAAGAAGATGAAGTCCAAAAGAAGGTTGGAGATAATCCATAAGTCTCTGAATGGCCAAATCAATATCAAGAGTCTCTTGAATATTCTATCTTCGGATGGTTCAGATATGCTTAACCTAAATTGTAGAAAGATAACAATGTCTTTTTGAGATTGACAAACAATGAGCCAGCTTACAGAAAAGAAGCAGCTATCGTAGGAGATAGAACCCTCTTGATTATGTACTAACCAAACGAAGTAGTCTTCTCAACATACACTCTTGGTACTATTGACGATGGTTAAGTGGCTAACATTAGAAAACCCACTCCACTTGGAAACAACTTTGGAGTTTGGACTTATGTTTGGTTCGGATACAGTTGGCCAAAGAAGGTTGCTTCAGGTATTGTGAAGTTCCCATCAGATAAGGCTGTTGTTCCATATGATAATGTCTTACACATGATACCTAAATATTTCGCATTGTTTGCAGGATCAGATGGATTCTTAGGTGGATGGGAAGGACCTATGAGAAAAGTAGGTGCAATCTTTGGAAAAGGAGCTTACATTGATCCAAATAAAGGAAATTATGAAAATATGTTACCAAACTTGTTGGGATTGTAGGCTAAGAAATCAGATTGGAAACCAGCCAAAGAAGAAATCATACTTGTTCCACTCAAAGATAAACCAGGATATGACTTGACATTCAAAGATGAAGTCGGTGGTGTTACTGAATATGGTTATGGATTATGGACAAGATGGTTGATGACTACCCCAGATAGAGTTATTGAGAAATCTCCATTCCATCAATTAATCAGATTGACCAACACTGAGAAATATGAAGATAATGTTGCTCTTGGAAACAGAGTATTGGCAATTTGGGCTGGTAAAGGATATTATCATTTCACCACTTATGACAAGAAGACCAACAAGGCATCCATATCTGCAAATTCAAATTACGATGATTATCTTGAAGGACATTGGAATTACATCTATTATTCATTCACTGCATAAGATACTGGTAGAGCAGTTGGTTTTGTTCACTTTGGAGATTTACCAGGATAAACAGTTGCTAGAATTGAGTTATTAGATATTGCTCATAATCCATTAAATGGGTATGCTAGAGTGGTTGTTGCCAATAATGAATTCGGATATCCATCATTTAATGGTATGATTACTGGATTAAGAATCTTCTTCGGATAAGGATTTGTTGGTTCCAAAGAATAATTCTTGAAAGATGTCTTAGCAGTCTAACCAAAACCATAATTGACAGTCCCTGCTAGAACAGACATCAATGTTTTGAAGGAAGAGAAAGTAGTAAATAAGGGTGATGCTGGAATTCCAATTAAGACTTAATATGATCAATATTAAGGAGTCCTTGAATATGCAGTTTCTGGTTGGGTACAAACTAGAAGAGGATAAGCTGATGAATTATCAAGAATGATCTTCAGATTGACTATCAATGATCCAGCAATTCAAAAAGATAAATCATTGGCAGGGGATAGAACACTTGCATGTTTCTTATTCAAAGACGCATTAACATTCTCTACTTACGATTATGGAGATTTAGATAGCAATGATGATGACTAAAACGATATCTAATGGCCATCCAAAGTTGGAGCTAATGGAGGAGAATGGATCTTCTTGTACTTCGGTTACAATTCCAAGATTAGAAAAGCCTTTGCTTACACTCTATTCTTGAACAGAGAATTAGGAAATCAATACAATGATTTGAAACACTTTGTTCCTAATAAGTTCTGGTTCTACTTGGGAGGAGATGGATTCAATCAATAATTTGAAGGTACAATGTTCAATTGGAATCTCAATTTCGGTGATGGTGCCTTCACAAACAAACCTAAATCAGTCATTTCCTCATGGCCCTATGAACCATAATAATAAGCCGCAGATTAAGTCCTCTCAGTCCTACTTGGTAACTAAGGTTTAAGTTCAATCAAATTGAACAGATAAGCTGGACCAGCTTCAGGACAATTTGATGTTAAAGGAGGACCTGCTTCTGGATAATTCACAGTCAGCGGTGGACCAGCTTCAGGAGTTGTAGATAAAACAGCCGGAGCTAAGTCAGGAGTTGTTGAATAATCATAAGGACCAAAATCTGGTTAAACTGATACAGCACCTGGACCTAAATCAGGTTAAAGTGATTCAGCCCCCGGACCTAAATCAGGAGCTTAATAATGAATGATTTGATTATTCATATTAAAAAAACATAATAAATACATTTTCTATTTTATTTAAATATTTCCTCAATTAATACATTTTTATAGTGGATTAAGATATCTAAATATATGAAGTTATACTCTATAAACTATAACATATTTATAAGAATCTAATTATTAGAAATAAAAAGAATTATAATTTTTAATTTTCAATTCATAATCTTCGATGTGTATATATATGAAAATTATTGATACTATCTAAATTAAAAAATAAATAAAATTTAATTTTTATCAAATGTCTGAGAGTGACAAACAAGATCCTTAATCGCAATCCTCATCTGCAAAATAACCAGAAGAATCTAATTAAGATGTTAAAGTTACTAGTGCATGGGAGAAATCATCTAAGGAGCTAATAAATTCTCATTAAAATAAATTTGATGCATTTAAGTCTATGGCAGATTAGAGTGGAACAATAGATGAAAGTCATTTTACAATAGGTGGAGAATAGAAATCTGAAATCTTTAAGAGATTTGATGCTGATCATGATGGCAAAATAACTCAATAGGAATGGAATCAGGGTTGGAATAATCTTGATGTCTAAGTATTAGAAACATAACATAAAGTTGCAATAGCGTAATAGAAGATGGAAATTTTGGATGCCTTGGAAGCTAAAGTAGAACCTGGATTAAATATAAGTTAAAGATCCCAAAATTAATATCATAGCATGGTGGATAGAGTAAAGAATACATCAACGTTAAGTGGTTTAACTGATATATTCAATAAGAAATCTCCTTATAGAGAACATGAAGAATATCAAGAGAGCAGTAATTATGATTTTAGGTAAAAAGAAAGTAACAGACCTTTGGATTAATTATTATAACAGTTTAAAACACCTAATAAAATAGATATCTTAGTTGAAACTGGCAGTGGAAATGGATCAGGTAAATACATCGGTAGTAATAAACAGACATCAAAATTTGGATTAGTATAAGGAAGTGCTTCACCTGGATTTAATCCTGCAACCTTGAGAAATGATAATTAATACAATTCAAAGGTTCATTAACAAATGAATATTAATATTGATATTAAAGATAAAAATAAATCAAATAAAAGAAGAGAAGAATTGGCCAACTATATGGGTAAATTAGGTTTGGGAGGGAATGAATCTATTTCAAAATCATAGATTAGTATTGAGTAGCCTAATTCAAGTAAGATTAATAATCATAATTTAGATGTTTTTGAGAGAATGAAAGTTTATGTTAATAATATTGGATCTCAATATCCTAGAAATTAGTCATAACCTGGACTAAATGACCTCGTTAATGATAAATCATTTAGCACAAGCACATTCAAATAATAATTAAAGTAATATAGAAAAGAGAGAGGTGGAGAACAATAAGATACTTAAGCTACCAAGTTCTCTAAACCTCCCAACTTCTTAGAAAATCCATTATTGCAGGATCAATCCTTAAAAAGTTTTCATCTAAAACTGATGCACTCTTAGGGTGCTTTGAATAATAAATATACTAGAATTTGATCAATTGAGATTCATTTTATATAGTAATAGAATTTAAAAATTAATTCCCTTGTTTATTACAAATAACTTTTCGTCATATAATTATTATATGAGCTCATATTATCTTTATTAAGCACCTTTGCCAAAACAACTCATATCCTTTCCGATTACTCTATTTGATGGTACAAACTCCATGAAAAGAGAATATCACTCAATCATTTCAACATATAATGAAGTCTTTAATGATTTTAGTTAAACAGAAAGATAGCAATATTAATGGACAAAAGGCTTAAGCTAAATTGATCCATTTATTGGAGCTGATTTTGGAAATCTTAACTAATCTCTCAATCAAATATTTCTAAATTTATTATCAGTTCAATGTCCTTAATACATGACAATAATATTAATAACAGATGGGCGAGAACCATTGGATTCAGAATCCCTATAATAATCAATTTAAGAAGTTAAATCCAAATATTTTATTTAATTTATCACTATAGTGTTAAGCGAAGAGAGAACACCTATTAAAATAATAGAAGTATTGAATAAATTGTTTAAACCTGAAAATAATAATTTTAAATCTAATTACATTATTCAAAGATCATTAAGGAAAAGTATTTAGGAAATTTAGAAAGATTTTTGGGAAGCATTTGCAAATATTAAATAATAGCTAGTAGTATATGAATAACAAGATTTTCTCAATCAAAAAGTAGGAACTTTTATTAATCAATCAGAATTAACAGATGAGGTTGCTCCAGGAATTTTGTTTTTGGCTGAAAAAGGCTTAGAAATAAGTACTTAAGGTGTTAAAATTAATAATACAACTTAAGTTTGTCACATTTTGTAAATGCTATAGAAATCATTCCTAAATACACTCAAGAAATCAACTGAACTAGCAGTTACAGATTTGAAAAATGAATGTTCAGAAATACTCAGAGTTACCAATTAATTATTAAGTTAAACAGATAACGATGATAGATCAGATGAATTTTAAGCAATCTCATTAATTTTAAAAATAATTACATCAATCATTAACAACACTTGCAATTGGTAATCAATAGATCGTCGATTATTTGATGATTTACGTCTAGCAGTGTCAAATGCTAATGTCACTTAATTACAGTAATTAACTTTAATCAATTAAAGTGAATTCTCTGTCTAAAAAATTCATAATATTAATGAATAAATGATGTCTAAACTTGAATATTTATCCAAAAATGCTACTTCTAAATTAGATTATCTTATAAAATAGGACAACATAATTATAGATACTTTAAAGCTATATATATAATTGTTTTCAACTGAAATTCAATATCTATAAGATTAAAAGGCGCATCTCAAAAAGTTTGTCATGATACTTCAGAATTAATTGACTGTTGTATTTCAATAAAAAGAATTTGAAACTATTTTCAAATCAAGAGAAGTCATCGATAAGTCAGAAGACTAATTTGAATAGTTCTAACAATTATTTAAGCTTAACCACCTTGTTAAAATGTTAAAGTAAATTTCAAAGGAAAGCTAGAATGAATAATTAATATAATCTTTAAGTTAATTAATCAAATTAGAACAAAATTCAAATACTTAACCATTTAAGGATGTTTTGATGTTTTATAAAGATTTGAAAGAATTGCCTGTTCTAAAAGAATTAAAGCCAAATGATGATTAAGAGGATAATGAATCTATTTTTGTATTATTGATTAATATGAGTGAAGCTATGAAATTAGATATAGAAATTTTAAAATTAAGTTATGAGGAAGCTTTTAGATAAATTTCAAGTTCTAAGAGAATTGAATTGGTTTACTTTAGTAAGAAGGAGAATAATCAGTAAATGATTTAGGAATTTTATTTTCTGAATCAAGAATATAAATAAGAAAATGCATTCACATCGCTTATTGAATTATTTTAAATACATTAAGAAAAATATTAGTTGAAATAGAAAAAGATAAATATATGCATTTTAATTGATGATAGCTAGGATTATTGGAAATTACATTTATAAATAAAAATGCTAGAACTCTCTTAATATTATGTTAAAATGAGCTATATAGCATTTGGATTACCATTTATTATATATATTGGTAATGAAATCAAAGTTGTATTTGCTATTCCTAAAAGTGTAGAAAATCAAAATTAGAAAAAGATAAAAGTTGACAACTTTCAATCAGCAATATTTGGAAAGGTAGCAAATAAATTTAAACAAAATAAACTGTGAACATTTTATATTATTCGACAAAAAATGGAATAAATTTGTTGATGATAATGCGAATTTGATAATCAATGCTTTTTTTTCTTATGATCTCTTGATCTACTTCTGCTTCGACTTCTCTTTTTATGCTTTGATTTTTTATCCTTTCGTTCCTTACTTTTTTTTCCTACTATTATTTAAATTATGATACTTGATCTTCTTTTTTCTTCAGAGGAACTTCGATCTCTATCTTTCTTCTTTTTATGCTTTTTAGAATGACTCGAAGATTTCTTTTCTTTGTCCTTTCTTTCAGATTCTTTTTAAACCATTTATAATATAACTTCTGCCATTTTGTTATGTTTTTAACCATATTTTTATAGAAATGGATGTGGATATTATACCTTTCCTGTCAATCCAGGTATTTTACCCATATTCATCTTATTCCAGTTATTTTCCATCTATTATTATTATACCAATGATGCTAATGTTTAATTTAATAAAGCATGTTATGCCTCATTTAATTGTATATTTTGGGAAGGAATGTTCTCGTTGCTAGGGGAACGACTTGGTGATTTTTGTGTTTATTGTTCTCTAACTGGACTTGCATTGACAGGAGCTTTAATTAATTATAATTAATTGAATATACAAATTATTTGATTGTAATCCCATTCGATCTCGACGTCCTTTGGAGTAGGCTCTTATTACGGTTGGGGCACGGGTTCTTATTCTTCGTCGTTTTATTTGATTTATTCAAACAATAGACATATACGTTGACCAATATCCTGATAAATAAAATTAATAATAGGATCATTACAGCTGGAACTTCTTAACAATCTTTACTCCTGATTACTAGATCGCCAGTTTTTGGATTAATGGTGTCTTACAATTTGGCAAAATCAACAGTACCCTTCCTTAACCATTCAATTGAAAAATTATCAGCCAATTGAATAGTGGACGTACCACACCATTACCATTTGGGATCTCGAGGAACTTGTATATTCTTCATCTTAGCACAACCTAAAAACTTTTCAACACGATTAGCAATAAAAATCAAAATGACTTTTTTGTTATTAAATTAATCCATAAGAGTCCCAAAGTTACGACGAGTAGTAGCCCAAACATCGTGAGTTTTGGCCAAAATCACATTCTGTTCGGTGTTACTCTTAACAATAAAGAAAACAGCATTTTTAATTTATTATTCCAACTCTGCGTTGGAAATCTCAGTTTATTACTTGATAGTCTAAACTTGATAATTGACATATTTAAATGGACATTATTGTAGCTCATTAAAGAAACACTTCGTAACTTTGATAAATTGTTCTTCACATCCTTGGCATATCCTCCTCTAACAACAAGGGGTCTAAGATGTGCTTCTCGCGGATAGGCATGACTCGCATAACGATTGGCCCTGCTGGTACGGTTGCCTTACTACTATCACGGTTTATTTATTTCTCACCTAATCAAATATTAATTTAATTATTCTACTTTATCAGCCAATCCTAATGCTTTTTCTTATCCTCCATTCTACTCCAATTCTCCATAGATAACTAGCTCTTCAAAATTTTAATTGGACTATCCTTTTTACGCTTGTGGCATTTCTAGATTTTCATATTTAAATTTTTTACTGAGAAAATCTTTTATTTTTTGACGTAAATCTTTTAATTGCACATTCACTCCTTATATAGGAATTTTATATGTCTGTGCCTCGTGTTTCATTTTAAAATACACGATGTTCTCAGTCATTAAGATTTTTTAATTATTTAAAATAATTATTCTTTCAAATATTAGACAAATGTTAAATATAATATATAAACATAAATCCTGTGATTTTCTATTTTCACATCCTAATCTCAATGATCTAGGCTTTGAGGAATTTGTTAAATTAATTTAAAATTAACTAAAATTTCTATTTCATAATTTTCTCATATAAAACTAACTAACTAGAATTTGAATTTAATTTTTTAAGAATTGTATCCTTAACATTATTTAGTCAAAAATAATCCGCACAATAATGAAGGTTATATCTTGTGCTCCATTTAGAAAATCTATGGTAATTAATCATGAAATATTACAAATAGATGCCTATTCGTTTTATTGTATCAATATATTAATATAATCAATGAACATATATTCTAATTATCATATTAGATTGAGTGCAATGCAGAAAATCAATATTAAATCGAATATTCTATAAATTATTCAAATATTTCCATCTTTATTAGTTAAACGAAATTTATAAATATCTATTTTAATAATAGTTTTCTTAATTTATAGATATGAATATGAAGATGTTTTATAGAATATTTTACATTAAAAAAGTTGCTTCATTATAATATATTTAGCATTTCATTTTTAATTCGCTTCTATTAGTCTAGAAAATTTGATTAGTCTTAAAAAGTTGATTAAAAAGCAAGTACTTTTTTGGGAATAATTTAAAGAATATATTTTATTTAACTAAATAATTTATATAAATTATCATATTCAAATTTTCAATTCTCATCAAGTTTAATTAATATTCTTTTACCATATTTTAATATTTATTAATCCTTAGTTTAAGCCTTAAATTAATTTTAAATTTACTAAAGTCATTTCAATTATCTATCTTATTTGTAATTCCTCAAACTTTTTTCTGCACTCAGGATAAGCACAAAGGTTTCCTATAGAAAATAAGGATATTCTTGTTGGTTGAGATCCTTTGTCTGTTTTCACTAATTCGAGTAATTAATGTAAGGCTCCATGTTTAATCAAATCCTTAGTTAAGGCATTAGAATTTCTCACAAAATTTCCTAATGCTCCTGCTGCGTTTGCTCTAGTTTTTTCCTTTATTAAATGAAAAAGATACCTCTTAATCTCTTAGTAAATCAACCAGCATTGGAACTACTGGTCTTAACTGTTCATATAATCTATCACTATGAAAGCCTGCATTTCCAACTGCGAAACAAGCAAATTTACGAGTATGTTTATCTGGATCTTGACAACATTTGATACATAGATTAATTAAATCAAATTTGAGTAAATGTTCATAAAAAAAAGAAGAATGTCGACATAAATTGCCAATTAAATTACAAACTTTTGCTCTGACATTTGAATCGGGAGATTAAATTTGCTATTTCAAATCGTTGTATAAATGAATCGAATGTATATTTGGATAAAAATCTTTACTAATCCTAGCTAATTAAGACAAGATGTTTATTGAATCCACACTCATTATTTAATATTTTTATAGGATTGCCAATCCATTATTTTAAACGAAACATTATGCAAACTATTTATCTTCTTCATTATTTCCTACTAATCTTGAAATGAATGAAATAACTAATTATATGTGATCCTTCTATAGATATTTAATTAAATTTAATGTCAAAGCTACTATTTCTTAATTACTCAATTCTTTAAATACATTATCACAATTTTGTTCTTAGAATGCCAAAATGAAGATACGAATAATTTAAATGCTCATTACATTAACACAAGCCATACCTCCTCCACTCGAAGATGGCCATTCTTAGATGCTTTGTAATTAAGCTTCTTTTAAAAAAGAACATAAAATTCTAATTGAATTATCCTAAAATATTAATTATCCTAATGCTTTGAAATTAGAGTATATTGAATCATGAATCAAAATCAATAAAGATACGAATCCTTTTGGAGATACATCATTCCTGCTTGTAATATTCAATAGTATCTAAACTAATAATTGATGAATTTCATATTTTTCCAATAATTAAAAAAGATCCGTTAATTTCTTTTATTCCTTATTATATCTAAAAAGTAGTTTTTGTAATAATGTAATGACTCCATCTACAAATCCATAACTAGGACATCCAAAACTACTACCTTCTAGTTTTCTGATTTCTTCTGTTCTATTTTGTTTTTTATTTGGATTGACCAGATCGCTTAACAATTTATAGGGAAGCTATTAACTAAAATAGCTAAGTAATTGATTCGTAAAATTAGTTTCCTATTGCAATAATTCAGCAATTAATTAAATTGCAGATAAAGAAACAATTGGATTAATCTAAATGTTATTCTCAAAGATTTCAATAACTTATGATAAATTCACTTGATATTCTTAATTTTTATTTTTATATTATTGAACTAAGATCAACAAAGCGGTTCCTTAAAATAATGCTTCATCAGAATTAAGTGCCTAGCTAATGAGCTCTTTAGGAACATGAACATCTTTACTTACTCGAATCATTTATAACAGGATTCTTAAAACAGAGATTCTTGTTAAATTTTGTTATTCATCTTATTCATTATAAATTTTCATATGATCAATATCAGCATAAGCAGTAACAATTTGATTTTTCAATGACTCAAACAACGGCAAAGCTTCATTGAAATTTTAAATTTAAATAGAATATCCTTTCTTCCATGGAAAACTAAATATTTCCCCATGAATAGGATGTATCAATACACCAATAACTTAAGTAGCAAATTTGTGAAGAGTAATATTATTGTTTGTCAATTTGGCAGTCTCTTATGCTAAGTTATGTTCAACTAATTCTTTATAAAATAATACAGATCTTACTGGATTTAGACTAGCTTAATTAGCAAATATCCCAATAGTTTTGATTGTGTTGATTAATTCATTATTTTATCCAATTTTTAAAATTTGGGCAGTCATTCCAATAAATTTGATAAAGACATTATCGATTCCTATATTTTTATCAAAGGTAGCCTTAGCCAAAAGACCTATAGTTTTTATTAATTCAGATAGCAGTTCAGAACTACCTTATTTGAGAATACTTTTCACATGAGTTACTAATTAGATAGGGATTTATTGATTTTTCACAACATCCAATCCCTCTTATTAGTTTCCTTTAGTTATAACTTATCCAAAGACTTTCAAAGCACAATGCAATGAAGGTTTTTTCGGAGGAGTCAATACTTAAAGTAGCTTATCCAGGAATCCAGGGTCACATCTTAATTAAGTGGCTCCTTGAACATCATTAGCGATTTATTCACATTTAACCCAATATTCATCATTACAAGGCATTCTTCTAGGCGAGACATCTCTTGTGTCTTTACTTTAATCATAAGTTATGATATCCCTTGTAGGTGTTAAGGATCTCTTGCGTTTATCAATAACCTCATTTTCCACTCCTGCCCATTAACTATATTATTCCAATCTTTTTTTCCTTTCGTATTTTTCTTAATCAGACTCTTGTATAAAAGGGTGATTAAGTAGATCTGGCCATCCTAATCTATCAGATGGAGTTTTATTTAAGAGCCCTTTTAAGAAACTTTTGAATTCTGGACTCATGTTGTCAGGATACTTGACAGGATCCTTAATAATAAGTTGAATCAAGGAATATATTTGATTAGTGTAGAATGGAGGCTAGCCAACGAATAATTCATACAAAATCACCCCCAATGACCACAGATCGACTGTGTGATTATAGGGCTGCTCCTGAACTAACTCTGGCGCCATGTATAGAGGAGTACCTTTAATCGAATGCAAAACTTGTGTATTTGTCGACATAGCTCTTGCAAATCCAAAATCACATAATTTAACAACTCCATTAGCAGATAATAAAATATTTTAAGGTTTCATGTCTCTATGAATAATTCTGTTAGAATGCAGATAATGAAGTGCTCTAACTAATTATTATGCAATTTTCCTGACTTCGCTCTCGGGAAGATTATGATCATCCTCCAAAATTTCATATAATTCACCTTGCGCAAACTAATAAATAGAAACACTTAAAATTACTTCAGTTACTAAACAGAATTCCCCTTGCGTTTCAAATGCATCTAACAATAATATTATATTTTCATGCTTCAATCTCCTCAATATTTCAATTTCTTATCTCAAATTTGCTAAATCTTTTTCAGTTTTTCCTCTCTTACTAATGAACTTCAAAGCAGCCATTTAATTACTTTTCTTCCATCTTCCCTTATATACCTTTCCAAAAGAGCCTTCACCAATTAAATGTAGCACATGATAATTTTCCATTTGATTTTAATTTATAATAAATATGTTAATCCAATATACAAACTTAATTACTATAGAATATTGATATCATAAATCAAATAATATTCGTTTTTATAAGTAATGAAAATTCAATTTCTATTGGCATTCATTGTCCTTGCATCAGCTCAATCTTCATTCCTAGAAGAGTCTTTAATAAACAGATCCTTTGCTCCCATGGCTAATATATTCTTAGAGAAATTAACAGATCCCACTTAATAATTAGAAACAGCCACTCCTCCGGAAACATTCCTTACAGCCACACTTGATAGCTACATCAATGCCCAAGCATAATAATAAATTCTTATTGCCCAATAATACGAGTCTAATTTGCCAGCTAAGGGTGATTGTATTATTCTTTATGGAGAATGTGATTATAAGGGACCCTCTTTCAAATATTGTGATTAACCAGGAGAATACATCAAATTTGAAATCCCTGTTCATTCCGTTTATATTCCAATAGGGTAAACTTACAAATTATTTTAGTATGTCACTAAAAATTAAAGATGCACTCTAAGGAAACAAGCTAAATTTGATTTATAGTCACGAATGCATATCTGAGGGAATCCATATTCCTGAACCTAAAATTTATGAAGAGCATCCCAATGAGTGGTTTGGTGAAATTAAAGAATCTGAAAAGGCTGTTCTTGATAGCGGAGAACTTGCAACACCATAAATAAAATATTATGACAATGAAGGAAATGTCATATGTATATAAAATAAATTATCAATATAGCTAAGGAAGATTATTAGAAATTAATTGAAGCAGATTTACAAAAATCCCATAATTTCTACCTTGGAATAGTTGAACAACCAGATTATTCCACTCCTGCATAATTAGATTAAACGGACTCTAATGAATGAAATATATGCATAATATCATAAAGTCATCATCATTATTTTTCTTCCATGACTTCTTTATAATACTTTTCCAATTGTTCTGTAAAGCCCACATTGGGTCCAGCCCATGGTCTTGTCTGTCTAATTTTTGTTAAAGCATCCTAAGGCTTCATTTTGTGGATTTTTATCATATATGCAATTATCAAGCAAACTGATCTCGATATTCCGGCAGCACAATGAACTAAGACATTTGTTGTTTGAAGACTTTCATGAATAAATTTCACTGCCTTCTCAAAATGTTTGCTCATATCATAAGTTGGTGCATCATCTGCTTCAATAAGAAGATATTTCAACTTCTCATCTGGTTTAAAATGTCCTGTCCAAACTGCTGATAAAACAGCACCAATTCCTTTTTCTGGTACCATTTTCAAAGAATCATATCCTCCTACATATAAATTTCCGTTATATTAGTTATCTGAACTCATTACCAATGCTATCCTTTCTTCTAACATAAGAAATTATTATTATTTTTATTGTTATAAATACAATTTTACATTTATTTATGAATAATATATGCACATACACTATCGTTCATTTTTATATTTAATAATTATTAATCTATTAGATTAAAGTCAGAAAATGAAGATTGACGAAAATTTGTGTCTTAATCGAATTTATTTACCTCGTTTTTATAAATAAATCTAACATAAAATATAATATGAAAATACATTCTGATAGTCCCCTTTCTAAAATAGAACAACTATTTAACAATTTAGATTCGAATTTAAGCAAAAATTAATACATTAGACTATAATTTAAACTCAATGGATATAAGGAGAAAAAATTGGGTTAGGATTAGGTTATAATTGAAACAAGTTTGATTGATGGATAATATTCTCAAACAGCAATATTGATAGGAAAGGCTGCTGAACTGATAAAAGTCTACTAAAGTAACAAATAATTAATATCAAGATGAGAAATTTATTAATGTGAATTCTATGATAATATAATTGTTGCAATGGAAAGTGGCCTATTTAGAAAAAAATAAAGCTTACACCATTGTGATCTATGAATTTCAATATATTGGATCCCTAGATGGGGAACATGAATGCACTTAATACAATGTTGAGTAAAATTGTTAAAGCCAAAAAAAACTTAGAGTGACAATCAAGTAGCATAATACCATTAATAATAATACAAGCCACTAATAATACATTACAAATTCAATTAAAAAAGTGAAAATTGAAAATTCTTCATTTACGAAAGATTCATTTATAATTGATGATAATCTCTTAAATATTTCGGCTTTGGATAACCCAGCAAATAATAAATAATCAAATTAGTTTAAAGATTATTAATAATAACAACAAATATAATAATCAGAATTAACAAAAATATCTGCTATGTATCCTAATATGAAGAAATGGGTCTTGGAAGGTAGAATTATCTTAAAATCAGAATAATTAGATTTCAGATGCAAAAAAACTGATACAATCTAAAGATATTTTAAAATCATAATTTTAGATTGCGAATAAGAAATTATTGTAGGCTTATTCTATGAAAAAGCCTTGAGTAAATTTTTTTCTGTGTTGTAATAAGGAAAGGTTTACACATTTAAAAATGGCTGTATAGGTTAAGATAAGGCAAATGGTACAAAGAAAATCTCATTTAATGAGTATTCCATTATTTCAGAATCCTAAAATTTTGCAATTCCATCAGCCCCGCAATTAAATTTTTCAACGCTTTAAGAAATTGAGACATTATAACACAATTCCATTGTCGATGTTGTTGCTGTCATATAAGTAAATAAATAAATTATAATTAGGAAATAAAATAAGACTCTGATTCTTGTAAATCATTTATTGTCTTTGATTAGACAACAAGATTATCTGTAAAACTATGGGGAGCTTAATATGCTAATATCAATTTATAAAAAGGGGAAGTTATGGTCTTTAAAGGATTAAAATTTTACAATACAAATTTTAAATCGTTAAACTCTGACCATTAGACAATGATTATTTAAAATCATGACTTAAACGAGTAAATTAATTATTAAATATCTAAGAGTTAAACAGTTGAAAAGTTGGTTGGCCGGTAAAAATATTGATACAATTATGAAACCAAATCCAGATAACTCAACAATTGATCTTCAATAATTAGATGAATTTGTGATTAAACAATTAAATGAAGGCAAGACTTAATAAGCTAATTATAAATACATTTTTGGTTACATAATTGAGATCCAAGAAAATAGAAATATGTATCCTTGCTGTCCGAGTCTTCGTTGCAAATCGAAGATGGAAGAGATTCCCAGTAGAAAAACGTATCGATGCAAAAAATGTTTAACAGAAAATCCTTCACCAAAATTTAGCTTTGTCTTGAGAGTAACAATCATGGATGAATTTACAAATATAAAGGCAGTTATTTTTGATGATATTGCTGTTAAATTACTTGGAATAACCGCAGATTAACTCAGAGCAATGAGTCATGAAGATTAAAGGAATATATTTTTATCAAAAGAATTTTAACAAAAGAAAATGAAGCTCTAAATTTAATTCTAAGATTATAACGGATAAATTTAACCAAAATATAATGTTTAGGATATAGTAGATATCGATTACAAAGTATTAGCGACATAAGCATTCGAGATGTTTGATGAACTAGATAACCTGCTGAATTTATCACTGGTGTTGTGAAAATTATATATATTGAGCATTTATTTAAACTATTTTAATTAATTAAGATCTTTAATTCAATATATTTTTTGAAGTCAATAATAATTCATAATTGATATTTAGTGGTCATTAAAAAATCATTCATAAAGCAGCAGATTAAAAAAGGTACATGGTATTAAAATAAGAATAAAAAATGAAATGCAAGTAACCAAATATGTTGAAACATAAGATGGGGATAGTTGATTTATGTTATATGATTAATAATATAATTACATAATAGATTTATAATTACGATATACCAACATTGTAATTCAGATTAAAAAAATTATCATACCCTGAAAATTAAGAAATACAAATTCAGTAATATTTATTGTTAAATTCGAAGTAACCTTACTAGATCTTAAATATGAGGTTTCTAAGATGTTTAGCAATTAAATGTAGCATCAAATTTCTAGTAGATTTTAGTTTAAAGATTTTTAATAAATCCATAAATCTGGATGAAGGTTGAAGTGCTCTTTTAGGCATGAGATCATGATAAATTTGTGGCAAAAAAACAATTAATTTCTTTCTGGTTTTTCTCAGCCTTTAGAGATATAAAATTACAAATAAATTAGTAGAAAAAAAAAAATGACCAAATATTTTGTCTTCCAATTTTTTATTGTTTGGATAATTTATCTAAAATTAGTACTTGTAGTTACCTCTATTAACTGATCATTTGGAAGTGATATGTTAAAATTGACTACACATATTGTTATGTGCCAATAAAAGAATCAACTCTGTTATTTTGAAATTTTTCTACTAACAAATAAAAATTATTAGAGGCACAATTTCGAAATTCTTTAAAATGCATGTATATTATTAAATCACTAATAAATTTTAATTATCAATAAACAGAATTTCGTTTTAAATCTTTATATATTTTAATATACAACTAATTAATTATTAAACAATAAACATAATTTCATTTTGAAATCTTTAAATTTAAATACATAGCGAATTAAGAGTTTATATAAATAAAAAGAGGTCTCTATAATTCTTTTTGAGATAAATCAGGGTAGCATTTATTTTATGATGAATTTGATTTCTTACTGAAGAAATTTCATGAAGAAAAATGGAGATTAAAACCTGAGTATGAGCTGCTTGCAGAAGGAGGTAAACGAAATGGTAGAAAAAGAGAGAGTTGTAAGTCATGAAGAAAATGATGAAGTTTTAAGAGGGATTTAATAACAAGTGATCAGAAGAATCCCAGGTTCTGCATTTTTTGAAACCTTCTAACATAGCTGGATAGAGTGCACTCAAAATAAGAAATATATGACAGTGAGGCCCATAATGGAACATTTTTTTGGTGAACCTAGCAACTGCTTAGATTAACTTGAAAGGGTATGTCCAGGACAAGAAGTCGATATTCAAGTGTAGAAAAAGCAAAAGGAGAAAAAATGAAGAAATTGGCGGAGAGAATAAGAAAGCTTATCAAATGCGAATGAGAACCTATCAAAAAAAACCAAAACTTGGCTAATGAAATTCATTCATTAATTATTATTATTAATTTCATCAACTTTTTATTATTTTTAAGTTTGATTTGTAATAGTGAATATTTGTTTCAGTCATGGAATATACATATTATCTTTTTTTGTTTTCCCCATATAAACATTTTGGCCTTTTTCTCTCATTAAATTAATAATAATCTAAATTCATATGCTTTCATTAAGTTTGCAATATCCTATTATTCACTTTATTTCTATCCAATAATTAGACATACTTAACATCCTATTCTGGAGCATTTTGCTGTTATATTACAACATATAACATTTTTCATATCTCCGACGTTTCTTAAAGCTGTTTTCGTATTATTATATAATATAAATTTTAAATTTTATTAGCTTCCTTTTCAACAGCAATTGAATTTTGAGGACAATGCTGCTGTAGCTTACATTATAAGTTTATTTAAAGTTTCTACTCTGACTAATAGTTCTTAAATTTACTTAAAGAAATTTTCAATTATAAGCTCAGCATTTTATAGATTGGCCATATTAAGGGTTGAATAAAGCAAAATTCCTTTCATTAGAGGGAATTATGTTATTTCAAAAGATAGGCCACTAGAAAATATGAAATAGATAAATTTTGAAGTAAAGTATTAACGCTTAATTAATCAAAACAAAATATGAAACCATCTTAGTTTTAAATCTTTAGAACTGAAAGTTTGTTCAAAATGAATATAAATTCTTTTTAAATAAATAGAATAAAAAGGGATAGAAGAAATAGATTAAGATTGATCAAAGATTGAGTCATATCGAAAGACAGAATATTAAGAAATATAAAAAAAAAAATTAAATGGATATCTGAAAGTTAAAAATAACTATTCTAGAGAAAAACTTATGATGAAAAAATAATAGTTACCATAAGGGAAAAAAATAGTCATTATTTTTAAAATAGATAAATCAATTCTATCGAAATAAGATATGGATGTTATTAGAGAATAATTGAAGTTAAATAAGATTATAATATAGAGTTGTTGAATGAGATAATCCTGCAATGTATTAAATGAGAAATGTTGAATGAAGACTAATGATTTATTTATCTAACTTTTATTTTTAGCATTACAATCTGCAGTAAAGTTTAAAAAAAACTTAAGAAAAATATTTAACTTTGTTCTCATTTTATTAATTATCAAAAAAATTGATTAGGTTTAAGCCTCTCTAAACTTTGCATATGAATAAAAACTATAAATTTATTCTCAAGTAGTAGATATTCAAAGATCAGTTATCTTGATTGAAAGCTTAATGTATCCTTTCTACGAATGGTTATAATTTACTTATAGCAGGGGTTAAGCTATAATAGACAATAATCTAATAATCAACATTATATAACTCAAAATTTTCATCTATGTGTCTAGAAATGTTCCCAATATTTATTAAGTAGCTTGGTGTTTATTTTGTATCAATTAGAGAATCCTCAATTATCTCAAGTTTTATTCTATTTATATTGTAGACTTCTATTATTATTAACCATTCATGAACTAAAAGAGGTTAAAATTAAATTTTGTGAAATTTTATTAACATGAGAAAAAAGGTATTTAAAAATATCTATTTATTGTTACAAAAAGTGTTTAAAAAGAGATTGAGAAATCATAAACAGTTGGAGGGCTTTGATGAAATATAGAAAAAAAAGGAATTTCAAATTTGGTAAGTATGAGACTTACTTTACACAGGTTTAATTGAACTATAATATTTAGATAGATCACAAAAACAAAATAGTAATTTTTTCAATCAATTGCTTTTAATATCTTGATCACTGCATTCTTAATTCATAGATTTCATACTATTAGGAAATATTATTCCAATATACAATAAATCTTCCATCATTAGTTATAGTACCAAAAGTACTTGTGGATTTAAATTCAATACAATGTAATATTAAAAAGTAACCTTCAGGTTATTATTTCATAATGTAGAAATGAAATTTATTTTTTAAAGCAAGAATTTTTGAGTTCTAGTTATAGAAAATAGGAAAGTAAAATTATTCAATACACATTGGGCTGCATTTGAGGTTTAACCGTTCATCAGTGTTTTCTCGAAAAATTCCATCTTTCTCCTCAAAAAAACGCAGAACTTCATTGCTTCTTGAGACCCATATTAATTTGTTATCATTTAGAAGAGTTAGTCTGCAACCAGATTCTATAACTGATTATTTAATTACATAATTAAAATCATACGTACCTTACGAAGATTTTCTCCAAATAATGATTTGATTATCTAGTCCAGAAGAAGCTAAGATACTCTCGCTAGGAGCTAAAGTTAATCCAATTATGTTTTTTGTATGCCTACGCAACTGATATAGCAATTTAAATTCATTTAAATCAATATTAATAGCCCATACTTTAATTGACTAATCAGAACTCCCAGAAAAAAGAATATCTTCAGAATAATTCATAATTATGCTATTAATAGAGCCTAAGTGCTCATAAAATGGTTGAGAGCTAGACCATGTTTAATTTATATTTTATTTCCACAATCTGAGTTGACAATCTTAAGAAGCTGAAATGAGACTTCTACTCATTTTACTAAAAAGTAGGCAAGTTATTAAATCTTGATGGCCTTCTAACTACAAAATGTCTGATAATTATCCCATTTTAAAACTCCATAATCTTATTTGTTTTCCACAGCCTGAAGCCATCATTTCTTATTTATGATCAATTTCTATCACAAAGCAGGTATCCTCTTATTTATATTATTCTTAACTAGAAATTCTTTTCAAAACAATTTAGTTTGTAAGGTCAAGCTCACCTTTTGACGAAATCATATAATATTTAATATTTATTATAAATTGCTTTTATCTTAAAATTAAAAATTATCAAAACTGTCTTAAAGGAACAAAGGTTGAGGATTAGATTTATTTATTCTCTTTTATATTTACAAAAAATCAATTTATTTAAGCAGTTGCTAGAGAATATCATTATCTCTACTCAATGTATATTCTTAATATTATTTCTCAACTTTTGATTCATTTATAAAAAAATTTTTATCTACTAAATTTTATTCTTACTTCAAGCCTTCATTAAAATCATAACATATTTTTTAAACCCTTTAAACTCAATTTATTATGTTTACTTTTAAGATTGAGTCTGCAACATCATATCATTTTCGCTCTTTCTCCTTTAAATTTTAAGGGTGATTAGTTATCCAGTATGACAAATTCTTAAATCCTAATAGATTCAAATAATTAAAGCATTTGATAAAATGTAATTGGAACTTACTGTAATAGACATATAGATTGAATAAATTCTCACTTAATAATATTATGTTATTATTTGAAATTTTAATTCTAAAATAAATTTTGAAGCTTTCCCATTCAGATTAATCTACAAATTTGTCATCAATATATTTATATATTAAAGAAAAAAAAAAATACAAATTATTTAAAATTACTTTCGAATTACAAATCAAAGCATTAGGCAAAATATATATAGGAGAACCTCAATAAATTGAAAATTAAAGTTTGGAACATAATTAGAGTTTTAGTTAGCATAACTTATTTTTCAAGTCTGTCTCATCCAAAAAAAAAAAATACTTGCTAACAATTTACAGAGAATGATGGGCTTTGAATTTCTATAATTGCTTTTAGTGAATTATCTCAATTTTAAATATAAATCTTATATTTGCTGATTTTTTGATATTGTTAGAATTGTATTGATATAGAAACTTGACATATTGAAAAGTTAAAAAGTTAAAAAGTTGCAAAAATAGATAAGTATTAGAATTAGTCATTGAAAAGGCTCTCAAATAATAAAATAGGGATTTGTATCTTAAAATCAGAAAAATACAGATTATTTAGAGTTTGGAAAGTTAAATTTAGATAGATATTAATAAGTGTCAATAATAATCTAAAGTTATTTTATATATCTCTACAACTAATTGTTAGGTTAACAGATAATCTAAACCAGAATTGAAGATAATAAAACTGAAGCTAATACAAAATAGAAAAGCACTATTTTATTTACCAATTAGATAATTTTAAGGTTGGATTAATTATTTCGAATTCCAAATTTCTATTGCTTGAATGTGACACACTTATGAATTTATTAAATGTAAATATGAACTAAGCTGATTAATGAATCATTTCATTAATAATATCATAATAAAAGTCTTCATTATGTTTATTGCATTGAATTCCTTTCTCCAACATTCAATAACTGATTCAATTTATCCTTAAGCTTATATTCACAAATTAACTTTTCAAATAGTGCATCGCCTTTATATAAATATTCTTATACATTTTATTTTAATAAATTTCTATAGAGTTCTTATTCTAAGAAATATCTTTATCCCAAATTTCAAGTATATTATCTTAAAAGCTGATTTTATATCATAAATTCAATAATATATGATCTAAATGGCATAGCTAAACTTCACTAAATCTTGTATAGTTACCATATTCATAATAGAATATATATTATTTTTTTCTTCTTTACAAGATATAATTACAATTCATAAAATTTAAGTCAATCACATCCTTTTTTTGTTCCTTAATCCAAGCGATCTAAAACTTTCTCAGATTATCCTTATCGCTTTAANTCAGATTAATCTACAAATTTGTCATCAATATATTTATATATTAAAGAAAAAAAAAAATACAAATTATTTAAAATTACTTTCGAATTACAAATCAAAGCATTAGGCAAAATATATATAGGAGAACCTCAATAAATTGAAAATTAAAGTTTGGAACATAATTAGAGTTTTAGTTAGCATAACTTATTTTTCAAGTCTGTCTCATCCAAAAAAAAAAAATACTTGCTAACAATTTACAGAGAATGATGGGCTTTGAATTTCTATAATTGCTTTTAGTGAATTATCTCAATTTTAAATATAAATCTTATATTTGCTGATTTTTTGATATTGTTAGAATTGTATTGATATAGAAACTTGACATATTGAAAAGTTAAAAAGTTAAAAAGTTGCAAAAATAGATAAGTATTAGAATTAGTCATTGAAAAGGCTCTCAAATAATAAAATAGGGATTTGTATCTTAAAATCAGAAAAATACAGATTATTTAGAGTTTGGAAAGTTAAATTTAGATAGATATTAATAAGTGTCAATAATAATCTAAAGTTATTTTATATATCTCTACAACTAATTGTTAGGTTAACAGATAATCTAAACCAGAATTGAAGATAATAAAACTGAAGCTAATACAAAATAGAAAAGCACTATTTTATTTACCAATTAGATAATTTTAAGGTTGGATTAATTATTTCGAATTCCAAATTTCTATTGCTTGAATGTGACACACTTATGAATTTATTAAATGTAAATATGAACTAAGCTGATTAATGAATCATTTCATTAATAATATCATAATAAAAGTCTTCATTATGTTTATTGCATTGAATTCCTTTCTCCAACATTCAATAACTGATTCAATTTATCCTTAAGCTTATATTCACAAATTAACTTTTCAAATAGTGCATCGCCTTTATATAAATATTCTTATACATTTTATTTTAATAAATTTCTATAGAGTTCTTATTCTAAGAAATATCTTTATCCCAAATTTCAAGTATATTATCTTAAAAGCTGATTTTATATCATAAATTCAATAATATATGATCTAAATGGCATAGCTAAACTTCACTAAATCTTGTATAGTTACCATATTCATAATAGAATATATATTATTTTTTTCTTCTTTACAAGATATAATTACAATTCATAAAATTTAAGTCAATCACATCCTTTTTTTGTTCCTTAATCCAAGCGATCTAAAACTTTCTCAGATTATCCTTATCGCTTTAACTATGATTATTATTTTTATTGACTAGGGCTTTACCTATTAAATAATAATTAATGAGAACAATATTATTAATACAATACCAAAATTTTTATGTTTGATTTAATTCATGATTAACAACAAGTTATTATTTCTTCGTATTTTCCTAATTGTTCTTCTTATGCTTCTAATGTAAATTTCGATAGAGTATTTGCTAAATTAGTTGGAAATTTACTCTTTTCTATATAAATAACTATATTGCTTGTCAAAAATATATCTTTTTGTGATTATTCATAACTCATGAGGCAAAAATTTATATCATTAATCAGATATATTTTCTAATTCCATATTTTATAAAATATTGTTCCTTAAAAGTTCACAGATATTTTAGAAGTTTCATATCCTTTTATAATATATAATAAACGCCCCTGTTCATAATTAAATATGTTATTTAATGTAAACTACTAGAATATCTTCTCCGATTGATAAATTTTGGCAGGTAAATTGTAATTAACACAGCGTAGCCTCAAACATAATTAGATCAAAAGGGGTGTTGCTTAGATTTAAATTGTTTTAGATTATTGTGCCCATTAGAAATTAATGTTAAAATACAACAAAGAAATTAAGATTTAAGTATTTAGGAGCCTCATTTATATACTCTACAGTTTATTATTATGAAAATATGGTTTCATCTTGCTAAAATATGTGTAAGTGAAAAATATCTAGATATATTAAATTATTACATAAGAAAAATATTAGTTAGTTTAAAAAACATTAATTTGTACAAAAATTATAAACTAATTCTATATATTCTCAAATTTAACTCTATTGCAATTGAGTTAATTATAAACCAAAAATCAAATATATTTTTTCAAAAGGAAAATGCCAAATGTTTAGTTAAATGAAAAATCTGACATTATTTTATTTATTATATTAATAATGCTTTTTTATAATCTAATAGAATTCATTATTTAATTATTTTAAGAAGTATGTATAAAATTTTTATAGGTATTATTTCAAACTCACATTTGAATTTTCAAATGCTCGCTACCAAGGAAGAATAAAAATTACCTCTATCTTTGGAAATACTATGAGCATGAGAGAATTATCCGTTATATGATCAATGAGGATAGCTTTAAAAATAGGACCATATACTATTATTAATCTTATATAACAAATTGGTCTTCTTAATAATTAATATGGTAGCTTAAGCCTTTGATTTTGGGGATTATGAGTGGAAAGGAACTAAGGCCTTTAGATATGGAAAAAGCTTTGCATATTTTCCATATTTTCCATCTTTTCCTAAAAATTGTAATAACATTTTAATATTAAAAATAATAGAAAATGGGAATTACTAGTCATAAAAGCACCAACGTTAAATAATCCATAAGGTAAAGATTATACATCTTAAGAATTTAAGTTGTTCAAAAGAATCATACCAAAGAAATGGCATAACTTAATCAGAAAATATTTTGAGTAAATAAATTCCTTATTTTGAAAATATAGAATAAGTAGAGCATCCTTAATAGTATGGATTATTTTTAGAGAATATAAATATAGAAACCAAATAGTAGGTCAAATTGAAAATAATGCTATATTCAATGGATAAGGAGGGTACACTTAATAAGGAAAAAAATAAGGTCAATGGAAGGAAAAAATTCATAATTTTTTTATGTGAATTAATTAACATAAAATAATTAGGTAAGGCAAAACGTTTAAAGTTGGAGAGTATGGAGATGACAAAAGGTACGGAAAGTGGAAATATTATATAAACTATTACGAGATGTATTAATAAAATGATGATATCAAATTAGTGGTGGAGGTTATTATAATTATCAGGGAATAAAAATTGGTAAATGGGTAGAATTAAGTACATTGCTTCTTCCAAATTCTATTCTTATTTCTAATGGCCATTACAAAGAAGGCAAAAAAATTGGATTATGGGAATTTAGCTTTAAAAATAAGGAAATGAAATACTTTAAATCAATGTATTAATTTTAGCACAACTGAAAATTAGTGGTTGTGGGTCATATGATGAAAGAGGTAATGGTTTTTAGATTGGAAAGTGGGCTGAAATTACTTCTGAATTTGATTCTTATTCTTGGATTATTTGGAATGGTGAATTTAATAATGGGAAGAAAGTTGGTAGATGGGATACCTACAGATACACCAATTTTGATATTCTCATAAACAAAATAGGAAGGTTTTGCTTTTATATTAATTTAAGGAAGTTTTCCTGAATGAGTTTATATTGTAAATTCAGAGTAAGAATAAGTATGGATAAAATTTTAATATTCAATCTTAAACTTCACTACTGCATTAGTAGGTAATGTAAACTTTGGTATGAATAAATTTACATCCTATCGAAAGTTTATTGAATCTAGGAATTAAGCAAGTTCAGAGTAAGTTCCATTTGACTGCAATTCATATCTCCAAATGATTTTATTTAGCTTTCGATTTCCATTATATTAAATATATTTTAAATAAATTAAATTATCTCCATTGGGATTGAGTTTATGAAGAGGTACATAATACTCAATTTTGGGAAGAAGTAGATGAATTGGTGATTATAATTAGGTAAAAATAAATTGTTATAAGGCCATTTCGCAATCTATATGAGAGATGGAGTTACTTTTAAATATGATTTCATCACCAACATTGATGTTAGGGTTTTCTCCTAGTGAGATCAATAATTCTTAATTATCTGATGGGTTAATAAAGCAAGTAGGATTATAACCAAATGTTTGCGTAGATACTAACTCAAATAATTAATAACATTTATTATTTTCTAATTATGAATTGAAGGATTTTGGATTTAATGGAAAATCAAAACGAATTATAATCTTATTAAGGTCATCTGATAAAAATGCTTTCAAAACTGCAATTTGACAAGCTATTAATATATTTAATAATTTACTTGAACACCATGGTGTAGTCTAATAAGAAATTGAGTTTGGTGGAGGAATACAATCATTTTCATCATTTAGCAATCTATTTCCAAAGCACGATTAGCAACCGTTAATATTACATTCTAAACAAGTACTATCACATTTTTAACAATTTTGATTTGAGTAATCATCAAAATATCCGAATTAACAAAAGCAAAAAGGTTCCTGAATTCGATTACCTCTACAAGTTTTGCAATTTAAAGGATCCAAATGACAAGTAGAACACTAAAATGCACATTCTATAAGGTAATTATAATCATTTGTTACGTTGGCAAATAATTTATCCAATTTCAAAATATCCATCTATACATTTGCAATCTATATCAATTCTTCCTGGTTTGCAAGTCAAACAATTCGAAGGCTCAAATTCACATGTATTGCACTAAGTAGAACAAACTTGTTAAGAAGTAAAATATACTTTAACAAGTGAATTACTCATCTTCATAATACCCATCTATGCAATTACAGGTTGGTGGATTCATTCGCAATTTATTTTAGCAAATTTGGCAATAATTCGCTTCAAGCACACAGGTTTTACATTTGAAATTACATTTTTAGCATTAAATTTATGTCCCATCATCATAATAACCTTCTTTACAATCACATTAACCAGATAGAGTTTTGCGATTTGCATTTAATGCGATATTACAACTTAAACATTTATCACTCTCGATTACACAAGATTAGCATTTAATATGACATTCTATTATCATATTTAGATTTACTTTAACAAATGTATCCCTCGTCTTGATAAAATCCACTAATACAAGGACATTTGTGGATAATTGATTGATCAATTCTCTTTGAGTCAATATCACAACTTGTACATAGATTAGCTGAACCTTTGCAGGTTAAACATTCCTTTGAGCATTCTATTTTATCAGATAAATCTATTACTTAAACAGATTGCTGTATTTTATTCAAAATATCCAGGTTTGCATAAACATTTATTGTCGTATTAAAACCGATGTTGTTCAATTTCATAGCAAGATAAACAATTTGAGGTAGAAGATTAACATGTTTTGCAAGATTACTGCATTTTTAACACTTTTCAATTCCTGCTTCATAAAAACCATCGATGCACAAACACATATTTGCTGTTAACTATCTGTTAAATTCACTTGTGCAAGTAATACAATTTGTATTTGTAATTTCACATGTCTCACATGTTAAATCGCATTCTAATAGCAATTAAATACATTATTACAAGCACAGTTTTGTTAATTGTGTTCATAAAATCCATTTTTACATAAACACTAGTTTGACTCTTCATCAAAATACCTGGTTGTCAATCGACAAGATACACATTAACTACTATTTTTACATTCTAAACAAGTGATATTACAATCTATTAGTTATAATTGTATTTTTACATTGACATGAATTAGTTAAAGAATCAAAATAATAGGATTATTAACATAGACATAGATTATTAACTAACAATAGATTAAGACTAGTATTGCAAGTTAAGCAATTATCCTATAATAAAGAACAAGTCAAACAGGAACTTGCACATTGTTCACAATTTTGATTAATTGGATTTTCATAATATCCTTATATGCATTCACAAGTATTTCCAGCTTTAAATTGTCGAAAATTAGTTATTGAGCATGTTAAACAGTAATCACTTGAATTAACACAGGTTAAACATATCTTACTACATAATTTACATAATTTATCATCGTTTGCTTCAAACATTCCATCGATACAAAATACAATCTTTATCTTTCAAGTATCGATATTTAACGCAAGAAATACATTCATTTATGAATTAAGAGCATATTTCACATTTGTGGTTACATTATTAGCAAGTTCCATCAACTTCAATAAATCCAACTTAACAATCACAGGTTCTTGTTTTTTAATTAATTTCTCTAAATTAATTAGAATCGCATGAGGTACAGTTATTTGCTGTGTTTAAACAGGTCATACAATTTTAATTACATTCTAAGCAAAGCTATAACCCAACTTCATAGTAGCCCTATTGACATTTACAATTATTTTCTATTTTTCTAGTTTAGGGACATGATAAGCATATATAGGATTGTTGAACACAATTTAAACACTTTATTTCACATTTTTAACATAATATTGATTAGCCATCATCAAAATATCCAAATAAGCATTTACATGTCTAATTATAAAAGACTCGATTTGACGAATCAACATCTACACAGGAAATACAGGAATTAGCATCTTAATTATCACAACTTAAACACGAATAATGACATTGTTAACACGTTTCAACTCCATCATCATAATATCCAAAATTGCAATTACAAGAAAAAAATAGTTCATTATAGGTTCTATTTGAGTCTTTTGAGCATAACTCACATTTAGTATCAATATTATTACATCTTAGACATGAATAATGGCATTCTAATAATAATGAGGAATCGATAAATACACTAGCAAACTTCATTTTATCCATCGTCAAAATATCTTTCCATGCATTAACATTTATTAAAACCTGAAATGTGGTATCTTAAGCTGCTATCCTGACAAGAAATACAACTTTCAGCATTTTTAGAACATTCTTTACATCTATAATTACATTCTATTTAGTTATAACCTCTTAATACTTTGACAAATAGGAAACCCTGCATCGAAATATCCTCCCTTACAGACACAAGTATTCCCTATTTAGAATCTGTTCTCACCACCCACACAAGTGATGCAATCATATTCAGATATTCCCTTACATGTTCCGCATGAATAGTGACATTCTATTTATTGATTGAATTTATACTTTCGCATTTAATCATTCCATTATATTCAAACATACTTATAAGTGCTCCTTATTACTTCGTAATGCATTTGCAAGTATTTCCAACTAAATATCTATCGCTATAACATGATGTACAATTTGAGGAATCCTATACACATTCATAACAGAATGCCCGACAAACTAATGTTAGATAGAATAGTTACTTCCACAATCTGAAAACTCTATTTCAAAATAATGAGGTTAGCATAAACAGGAACTAACTTAAATCTCTCTATAGGCAGAAGAATCACAAGAGAGACATTCAGTTTAATCCTTACCATAACATCCTTTGCATTTGAAATGACATTCTCTAATTTATATTAATTCTACTTTAACAATTTATTTCATCCTCTTAATCAAAGTATTCTGATGGGCAAGGGCATCCTTTGATAGGATCAAATGAGCGTTTTGAATTTAAGGGACAGCTCAAACATTAATCTGGTTAATTTTCACATTTCTCACATCTATATGAACATTCTGAGTAATTAATATTTATGATATTTACTTTGACACTTTGAAATTCCTGCCTCATCATAATATTCATCAATACATTTGCAAATATTACCTTTTATTATTCTTAAACTAAGCTCCAATGAACAAACAATGCAGCCATCTGCCTTCTCATTGAAGCATTTGTAACAAGAATAGTGGCATTCTTTTTTATTTAATTATGCTTACTTGTACATTCTAGTTATCCAACATCATAATATTCAGGAGGACAAACACATGATGATAATTCTGACTATCTGTATAATTTATTGCAAGTTAAACAATTTGAAGAAAGAGGACCATAGCAAGTTTGACAAGTTTGATCGCATTATTCGCATTCTAGTTAGCTTCCGTCATCAAAAGTATTTGGTGCAGTACAAATACATTCAAAGTAGCTACCTGATAAGACAGATGTCCTACTTGAAGGACATTCTAAACATGCATCCTTTTCTATATAACTAAGCACAGAATCATTTTTATTTATTTATCGTAATTCATAATAATCAAAATATTTAAATTGTTTGGGAAGTTTAGTCTAAAAATTAATTAATATTATCAATTTATTTTATTTTTATTATCATTTCTTTAAAATTTTCTTGCTAAACATCTCCATTTATGAGAAGAGCCAGGAGTGGGGAGCTGATTATTTAGTAATAACAAATTTCATGCTTCTTTTTAACATTATTGCTAGGTTTTGCCTTAGAAAGTAACTATTATTAAGAAAGTGTTAGGTAACGTCTCGAAACTTTTGTTAATAAATGAATGTATGTTGTATTTCCAGTTTAAATATTTTAGTTGTAATTTGAGTCTCATTTTTTTAGTCCTCTATAGGAAACTAAGATTTTCTCTTACATCAATTTGAAGTAAGAAGGGGTTTAAATTATGAGCTATTGTGAATAAAATGGTAATTATTATTAAGATGGAGGTTGAACGATGAATTTGTTACATGGTTTATCAAAAAGTTTGATCTTTGAGAATTAAGAAGCTTTCTAGTTCAAATTTAGAATTTTCTATTTAACCACTCAAGAATAATGATTGAATCGATATAAAATTTGCTATGATACAAATGAGGAAGTCAAGCAATTTTGTTTTTAATAAACGTATTAATAATTGGCTAGGTAGTGTCTATGCAAATGAAAAGCCCAAAAATAACATCTTTATTAATACGAAAATTTGTTTAAGGTAGAACTTTTTGATTTCGATAAGTTTAAAATAATTATGTAATTCTTTTGTGATTGTGTGAACAGCTAACTAATTTTTCTAAGAAAACTTGATATAATTAATCATACCCTCCTTTTTCAGATTTTTTTAATAACTTTGGAGTATATTTACATTATAGAAGAACAGCAATTAATAATTAGTTTTATATTTCTAAACATAGATAATTTCAATCTCATGCTGAATCAATCTGATGGAAGTCAATTTTATTTTGAATTTTAATAAAAGATTTTAGAAATCATACTAACAATCATTTGAATTTTCTCACATCCAAAATTTAAAAAAGCTAATCTAATCTAATGATTGAAGCTTAGAAATAAATAAAATTGTATCTTATTTATTTCATACTTTTTTGGCTGATTATGTTTAAGACGCATCCTTTACTTAAATTCCTCTAGAAAACCTTGATTGAATGCATCCATTTTCTACAAACCCATATCAATTTCCAAGAAATGTTTCTAAATGTATAACTGAGATTGAAAATAAAGTTCCTTAAATTTGATGTAATAAAGTGGAAATAAATGATCGTTGTGGATAATCAAAATTTAGAGAGCAATATTGAATTTAGAATAAAGGAACATGCTTTATAAATAGCAATTTAAGGATGTAGCCAAAATATATGAAGAATATTATAAGAATAAGCACTTCAAATCTTTTTCCATAGTCCCTGACTTGACTAAGAGTGGGCCAATTAATGATTAGAATTAAGAGAAACTAGTTAAGGAATCAAAATATTAAGTTATATTGAGAACCCTTACAAATAGATTGAAATATTTGTTAATTTTGGACATTTGGATCCTCTCAAGTATATCTCAAATAATAAATCCAGAATATAAAGGAAATTATGCTGATTTGAATTTACTTCTAACATAGGATTCATTAAGGTTCAAAATTTTAATAATGATATAATAGGATGAATTAAAAAAATAAAATTATACCTGAAGTGAATATTCCCCTTTTTCTATAATAGACAAATATTTTACTCAGATATATTAACAGAAATTTATATTGCAGTATTAAGGGAATAAATATGTTACATGTTGTTTATTTAGATAATTAATTTTGAATTACCTTTCTTCTATCTAAATAACAATTCAGAGCAATTTAAATATTTAGGACTTTGGATTTAAAATATCTGATCAAAAATTGCTGAAATATATTTAGAAATATCAATAATAATAATATATTATTTTAATTGAAGTTCCTCTTGATGCAATAGATTAATCTAAATATTAGGTTCAAATTAGTGATATTGATGTAAATCCTAAATCATCATCATCCTCAAAATTAAATACTTTATATTAATCTGATTCCTGTTAAATGATCCATACCATGATTTAAAAATATGTTTTAAGCCCAAATTCAAATTATACATTTTAAATAACTGCAACTAATTTGAAAACATCTGAAAGCTAAGAATAAAACTTCACTATTGATATATTATCAGCTGGATTGCTTTGTTAGTTCAATAATTAAGGATATTAGAATATTAAAAGGGATTTAAACCTCTAAATTTTTTGTCAAGATTTAGACTACACATATCTATGGAACAGTGATCCAGATTTGCACATTTCGGTGGCTTGCAAGGATCTATTACGGAATAATTATTGTTAAGATGATAGAAAGTAAATCATTAATGTTAATAAAACTGAGGCTTTTCAATTCATTAGAAAGAGTTCCATTTCTCCCTTTTCAACTCAAGAATGGACAGTAACAGCATCAAAATTTCAATAAACTTCCAAATTTACTTTAGTTATTATTTATCTAGATGACGAGTTCCCTTTTTAGGAACTAGAATTCAATAAGGGTTATTTAATGAGAAAAATTAATAATTATGAATAATTAAATTTTACATTTCTAATTCCTTTTGAAGAAAGATTTGAGTTATTAGAACTATCAATTGCAATTATTTATGACTATGAGATTGTAGAAATACTGCAACCAAAATATCAATCACATTAATTCAAGATATTTAATTACATCAAAGAATTAAAGTTTGGTAATAATTTCAATCTTAAATTTTCAGCACAATATACAAATAATATTATGCCAAGCCTATAGAATTTAAAATTGTCGATCAATTACCCACCTAAATGTTCAAAATTAATTATTACTCGTTAAAGTGATTTAGCATTGACTACTTTTATAGTAGCAGCTGTTTGTGAATAATCAAATGACTCTCCATATAAATATTAACTTAGGCTATTTTTGAGAGAATCAGATTTACTGAATTTTTAAAAGGAATATCAGATAATTCTTTAACTTTATTTCCATTTTAAGATTCAAATTAATTCTCAATTTAAACCCCTTCTTCTATGAATTAATCAAAAGTTGAAATTTTAGTATAAGTTCTTGATAATGGAGGATCAGTAACTAATATTGTTGAAAAGATTATTATGAAATCTGCAGCGATAAATTGTACGTCGCTCTAATTTTGGAACTTGAATTTATAAAACAAAATATTAATGTTATTTGAAACACTTAATCAAAAATGTGATTGGTTGCATTCATAAATTTATCTTGATTTGCTATCAAATTTAATTTTACAGGATAATGATGAGAACACCCTGAAATTTTAGGCAGTTAAATTATATAAACAACTTTTAGTCTTACAAAAGGAACCTGGCAATCGTTTATTAAAGGAAACAATCCAAACAAGGTGTTTAGGTTCTCACTCAAACCATTTATACATTACTTAACATTCATCTGAGGTGAACTTAACATTAGTTCTAGAAGACTTAAAGAAAAATATTGATAAATTAGATTTAGCTCTAAAATACTATATTAAAATGAAGAAATAATTTGACGACGAACTTAAACTAAATTAGTATATTTGGGATGAAGAAACCATTCAAAAGTATGAAAACTAACAATACCTATTAATATCTTTATTATACTATGTTGATGATGTTTATTCTTATCTGTCCTCAGTAAACTTAAAAAATGAAACTTTATATCAAGCTGTAAATGAATTATTAAGGTTTATACCTTAGATTGCAGAAGAAACATAATATATGCTGGTTGTAAATGAATAGCCTTTAATTCTTATTGGGAAAGAGATTGCTTGGTAGATCAAAAGAACAACAAAGACAAAATTTAACTAATAATTTAATTTAGAATCAATACCAGAAGATTTTCTTATTGATTTTATTCAATATGAATCCACTTACTTTTAAACAAATCCTTTAAGATTTTTCAATGATTTGAAAAATATTTAAACATAATTGAATGACTAAACTATATAAATATACCCAGAACACTACTACCTAATTAATTTGAAAAATGGCTAACACAATAGATATTTATAATATGAAAATTTTTCCTCCATTTATGGCACAAAATTTGGATCCTATTAGATTTGCTAAGATAATACTGAATTATTATAAGAATAAGAAATTATGTGCGCAGTGAAAACCATCTCTGGAATGTTTTCATATTGTGATTTGAATGAACTACAAAAGAAAGATGCCATTGAGTTAACTTGCGAATGTAATAAATTTGGTGATATTTTCTTGGTCACCTCAACAAAATTTAATCAATTAAATAGCAATGATCATGAAGAAATATCGGATTTTAATTTTGCCTTCACATAGAAGGATGTATTAACTTTAAGAATCGGTACTGGGTCATTATCAGTAATATTTCTAGCAATTTATATTTTTCAACTAAAAAAAGATTAAAAAGATGAGTAAGATAGATCTGACACCGAATAAAGTAACTTGAATACATAAAATGTTTAAGATAAAAATAATTATATGTTTCAGGGTTGTACAAAAGTGTTCAAGGAAAATTTTAAGTATCATTAAATTATTATTTAGCAAATCCATCAAATAATATAGTTATTTTATTATAGAGACAAATTTATTAAATTTAGTTATAGGATTTTAGAGGTTCTCTCTGAATTCAATCTGCTCTTGGCTTATGCAATGATTGAATGTTATTTTTTGAGTAACTCAATACTTCTCATTTGTATTTTCGTTATAGTAAATCCTTCTCTAAATTTGATAATGAGAATGCTCTTTAAGATATTAGAGGCAATATATAGATTCAAAAGATTTGCTGCTGTTATTAGTCAAATTCTTCTAATCTTATTTTTTATGTCTCCCAATATCATCATACACATTTTCTATTTATTGAAGTATATATCATACTATTTTAGAATAAAAATGCATTCAGAACCATATATAGTTACCATAATCTTTTTAGGAAATATCATAATTTCACAAGTTCTTATTGAACCATTGACAATCTATGGAAGAATAATTATTTATAGACTTATAGCATTTAGCCTCAAAAACAGGGATTTCAATCCTATGTTCCATTTAATACATTTCTTTGTAATGCATGACAGTTTGGAGGAAATATTTGATGACTTCGCCAAGATTTGATAATATTATCACATACAAATACATAAAATATAGTCTTATTCATTTCATTAATTGAATTATATTCATAACAAGGGAGTTAAGTCTTGGAAATAATTTGATTGTTTAAATCTTTTATAATTCATCAATTAATACTTTAATATAAGAAAATCTGGAATTAGTTGAAAAGAAAGAAATTTCATTTCTTGAATTTTTTGAATTTGGTCTTTTTTATTTCTGTCATTTTTTATGCAGGGCATGGGTGTTATTTTTTCAAATCACACTAGAATTCTTACCAGATTTTTATAAGAAATCCACAATTTATCCATATCTCCATATTAATTCTCTTAATTTTTATTAATCTTTAAACAAGCCTTGTATTCTGGGTTTTTTTGGTTGTTTTCATTGGTTCTTTCATACTATTTTTAGTTTTATTAAATATAAACATTTTGATCATTCTTTTAATTTATTTATTTTTATTTTAAATTAATTGGATAAACATTTCTTAATGCAATAACTAATTTCGTACCGAAACACCAATATTATCTTCTCAAAAAAATTTCCTTTTCACAATTTTGTAAATTGCAAATCCTTACTTTAGTTTAATTACTGTTTCTTTTATTAAGTAATCTGTTGATTGTAGTTTTTCATCTGCTATATGAATCATTAAAAGTTAATTTCTTTTCCTACACAAATTGAAAAAATCAAGGTGAATTTTTGAACATTTACTATCTAATATAAAATAATTAGAAAATCCAAAAGGTTTTTTCCATTATTGCATCATCTTATAATTAGCTTTTAATGAAACTCAATTTCTATAACTTATAAAACATAATGAACTTAAATAAATATTACGAGAAACCTAGTGTAAGACTTAGATACCTCTTCCCTAACGATTTTCATTCATCTTTTTGTCTGTCGAAATTGAAGTACGTAAGTTGAAAGTATTTCAAGTTGTAAAGTGGCACTTATACCCCAATTAGAAAATAACCTCATTCAGAATCAAAAATACAACAAGAATCGAAATAATAAGAAGAAGCGTTTAAGAAAAAGTTTGCAGAACTGCAATTAAGATTCCATTTATTAATATAAATTAAAACCATGAAGCTTATTATTATTATTATTATTATTATTATTATTATTATTATTATTATTATTATTATTATTATTATTATTATTATTATTATTATTATTATTATTAATATA